TTCCTTAGAGGCCCTGTCTCCAAATATAACTGAAGGGTTAGAGCTTCCACATATGAATTTGTGTGTGTGTGTGTGTGTGGGGGGGAGGGATATAAACATTCAGTCCATAATATGGCCCCAGGAAGCAATGAAGCTAATTGACTAATTTAATTCTAGCTAGACTTGACTGTGGCAGTTGGACTGATCTTCCTGGAGTAGGATTTCAAAGATAGTCACAAATTCTTCCCCTCTCTGAATTTACTCCCTCTTGCTATATAACTTTAGTCCCTTCCCACACTGACTTGCTTTGGCAATGACACAATTGCCAACATGACAGTAAGAAAGACCTGAAAAATGCTTTCACATTGAGGCTTGCTGTTTTTTCCTGCTCTTGGGACTCCTATCACTGCTGCCATGTGAAGAAGTTCAAGCTAGCCTGCTAGAGGATGAGAGATATGTGACTTAGTTTCTCCTTTTACCATGGCCGATAGGATGCCAACTGCCAGATGTGTGAGAAAGGCTGTTCTAGATTATCTAGCCACCAGCTAATCCTCAGCTGACTGAAGATACATTTGCAAACCTGGCAGTAACCAGTTAAACTCACCCAGACTGTAAGAGCCACCCAGTTGATCCACACAATTGTCAGCTAAAATCAATGTTTTTTTTTTTAAGGTACAAATTTTGGGGTGAATTGTTATATAACAATAGGTAACCACCATATATATTGGAATATAAAAGAACTTTGGAGTTTTTAGATAATTAAAGAGGAGATACTAGACTTCCTGATAATATGACATGAGGGGCCTGTCTGACTAAATAGAAAAGAGAAAAGAGATGTGATCACTCTATACTCTAAGATTTATACTCTAAGATTATGGAACAGTTTATATTAGTTACACATGTAAATACTGGTAGCTTTTAGTTCTAAGCTCTAAGTCAATTTAATCAATAACTCACTGGACATTTTCACTTGGGCATCTCACAGGCACTTAAGAGCAAACACATCTAAGACAATCATAATCACCTTCAAATTTCTACTTCTCCACTGTCCTCTACCTCAGTTGCCCCGCCAGAAACTTGGAAATGTTCTCATCTTCTTTTTCTCCACCCAGATACAGTCAATAGGTCTTATTTCTCTACTTTCTGAGTCTCTCTAAAATCCATCTACTTTCTTCCTTCACCACCATCACTCTGTTAGTATTTGTCATCATCACCTCTCTCCTAGATATTTGTAATATCCTCTTAATTTGCATAGGAGTTGCTAGTGGAATGGGTATGATGTGTATGAGAAAGAGAAGACTTGAGGATCATTCTGAGGTCTTGGCCTGAGAAACTGAAAAAAATGGTTTGTCATTCATTAAGCTGGGGAACACAGGGGTGAGGGTAGATTCGGGCCAGATTGTATCACATGGTCATCTCTGGCTGACTGTTTGTTTGGCTGTTGTTTTCTATTACTGTCCAATAAATTACCACAAACTTATCAGTTTAAAACAACATACACTTAGGGATGCCTAGGTGGCTCAGTTGGTTAAGCATCTGACTTCGGGCCAGTCATGATTTCATAGTTTATGTGTTCGAGCCCCGCGTTGGGTTCTGTGCTGACAGCTCAGAGCCTGGAGCCTGCTTTGGATTCTGTGTTTCCCTCTCCCTCTGACCCTCCACAACTCTGTCTCTCTCTCTCTTCCTCTCTCAAAAATAAATAAACTTTAAAAAGATATATCAAATAATACACACTTAACTCAGTTTTTGTGGATCAGGAGTCTAGGTATGGCTCCAGTTCTCATCTGGAGACTCAACTGGAGAAGGATCTGTTTCCAAGCTCATTCAGGTTGTTGGTAGAATTAATTTCCTTTGGTTGTAGGATGGAGCACTTTGAAGTTTTTTGTTTGTTTGTTTGTTTTTCTGGGCTCTTTGGCTCTTAACTCCTAGAGGGTATCTGCAAATTCCTGCCACATATTCTTCTCCATAAGCAGTTCAGAATATGTAGCTTGCTCCTTCAAGGGCATTAGGAAAGTGAGAGCGGAGCTGCTAGCAAGACAGATCCTTATATACTTTAAAGTAATCAGGAAAATGATATCTTATTACCTTTGCTATGTGCTATTGGTTATAAGTAAGTCATGGGTCCCACCTACACTCAAGGGGAGGGGATCACACAAAGGCATAAATACTGAGGAGGAGGCAGATCATGAGGGCCCCCTTAGAGTCTGAGTGCTGCACTTACTTTCCTAGTCCCCATAGTGAAAGGTGAAAAGTTGGAATGAATTCCTGGTCCCTAAGGACTAGACTCAAGGCTGAGTCAGTGGATTCTCCTGCTTGAGACAGTTAATCTGGAATGGTGATATAATCATGAAAAGATTAGAATCCTTTCACGGAGGTGTGTGGCAGCAGCATAGTACATTGTCTGGTGGTAGTGCAGGAGTGGTGGTGACAGCAATGTCCTGAAATTGTTCCTGGTTTTCAGTTTGTAGAGGCCTTTTGTTTCCTGCCAATTTTATAAGCCTGCTTCTTCAATCTCTGTTCAATTCTGTGAACCCTTCTATCCAGCCTTCCAATAAATTCCCCTTTAGGTGTAGGATGTGGTGTTTGTTTCTGTGGTTTGTACCCAAGAATGTGGCAGATCCTGTACATACAGGTCAATATAGACAGCTGGTGTAACTGTAAATAGTTGATACAGCACAGATTAATAGGAGAAGGGGAGGAAGGCAGAGACTAGATTTTGGATGGCCATGTCAACTATAGTAAGTTTACATTTCATCTTGAGGGTCGTGGAAATCCATTTAACTCTTTTTTTTTTTTTTTTAAGTTTATGTATTGGGGCACCTGGGTGGCTTAGCCGTTTAAGTCTCCGACTTCGGCTCAGGTCATGACCTTGAAGTTTGTGAGTTTGAGCCCCGCATTGCGCTCTGTGGTAACAGCTTGGAGCCTGGAGCCTGCTTCAGATTCTGTGTCTTCCCCTCTTTCTGCCCCTCCCCTGCTCACAATCTGTCTCTCTTTCTCTCTGTCAAATAAACATTAATTTTTTTTTAAAGTTTATTTATTTATTTTGAGAGAGACAGCCAGCGTGAGCCCAGGACGGGGAGAGGAGAGAGAGAATCCCAAGCAGGCTCCATGCTGCCAGCACAGAGTCTGATGCAAGGCTTGAAACTGCAAAGCTGTGAGATCATAACCTGAGCTGAAATCAAGAGTCAGACGCTTAACCTACTGAGCCACCTAGGTGCCCCTCCATTTAACTGTTTTAAACAAAGGAGTAACATCACCTTTAAAAAAAAATTTTTTTTTTTTACATTTATTATTGAGAGGCAGAGAGACAGAGTGTGAGTGGGGGAGGGACAGAGAGAGAAGGAGTCACAGAATCCGAAGCAGGCTCCAGGCTTTGAGCAAGCTGTCAGCACTGAACCTGAGGCAGGCCTTTGAACCCATGAACCATGGGATCATGACCTGAGCCGAAGTCAGACGCTTAACCGACTGAGCCACCCAGGTGCCCTGAGTGACATCATCTTATGTGAAGATTCTTGGAAAGGCTTTTTGGAGGATGGGTTTGAAGAGAAAGGGAGTGGATGTAGGTGAGCCAGTTTAGAAAGTTTCCCAGTCAAGTGAGACAAGGTAGGACTTGAGCTAAGGTGGTGTCATTGGGATGGAAATAGGAGACAGACTAGATACACAGAAGCAACAAGGACTTGTTGATTACTTGGATGTGGGGGCAGAAGGGAAAGAGTCTAGGATGACTTCCAAATTTCTGGCTGAGGAAACTGGATGGATGATGGTGAGGAACTGAAACAGGGAATACAGGGGCAGACTGATAATGGGCTGTATGCTTGGTTGTGTATGTAGGCTCTGGTATCTGACAGACCTTGGTTTGAATCCTGGCTTTGCATTTATGACCTATGTCATATTGAGCATGTTATGCAACTTGAGCCTCAGTTTCCTCAGTTGTAAACTGGAAATAATATAACTTACCTCTTGCTTGTGTATGTGTGAATTGAATGCACAGTGTCTGGTATCCAGTAAGTAAGTACTCTATAATGCTGGCTATTACTTCTCAAAGAGGGTTCAGGGAGGAGGCTCAGGAAAAATGGGTGAAGCTTTTAGGAAAGCCTTATGAGAAAGAACTGTGTTCAAGACAAAACAGGAAAAATGCAACATTGTGGCAGACCAGCTAAAGCCAGAAGGAGGAGGCCAGACAGGGCTGAACTTAAGCCACGTTTCTGAGAAGATGAGTCATTGGAAGTGCAGGCAGGGCTGCCCAAGCCACAGCTGGACTGGCTGTGGCCAGGCTAGACTGGGCTATAATATGACTTCATTGTCAGTGGGGAATCATGAGGATTGTTCCGGAAGCCTTTTTGTCCTCCTCTTCCTCCCAGAAGGAATCCATTACTACTTCTTCTTTTATAGGACTTTCCATACCTTGTCTTACTTTCTGGAAGCAGCAGGAAACAGTAGAAAGGGACAAAAAGCAAGAATCTGAATCCTGTCTAGTTTGGTCACTGATTTGCTGAGTGACCTGGTGTATGTCACTTCACCTCGTCCTTATTTGTAACACGAGAATGAGCAAACCTGCATCCAAAGCGCCAAGTGAAGACAGTTGGTGGGTGGTCAATAAAAAGGCATACGTTAGTATTCTATTACTTAATTGCATATTTTGTCTCCTTGTTTCTGTTCCCACTCCCCCTAGATCCTTGAAGACACTAATCGGTTCTAACTCACTTTCAGATCCCTAGCACTTAGCTTGGCCAGGCACACAATTTCATGAATGGATGAATGAAAAGATCAATGAGCGTCCCCAGCCGCAGCAGACGCGCCAAGGGCCCGCCCCCTTCCGCTTTACCCACCAAGCAGGGAGGCCACGGGCGCGTCTCTCGCGACCGTTCGCTGGCGCGTGCGCCGGAGGCCGCGCGCGGCCGGAGGTGGCGGGCGGGTTCCCCGTGCGCGCGCGCGCGAGGTGGGGAGGACAGGGGCGGGGCCCGGCCAGAGGCGGGCGCGCCGGCTGGCTGCTGGCTGGGGAGGTGGTGGCGGCGGCTGCGGCGGCGGGTGGCCGGCCAGGCGTGTGCCGGGTGGGAGAAGACGGGCGGCGGCGATGCTGCCGCCTCCCTAAGGAGCCCCGAGGAGATTGCTGCGCTTGAAGCCCCAGAAAGCGCGGAAGAGCTGCGAGCTGGGTCGGTGGCTTCGGGCGCCTGCCCGGCCATGGTGGCCGCGGGCGGTGGTTGGCGCGGCAGCGCTGCGGCCCGGGGCCGTTCGGGGCCGGGACAGTCGTGGCGCTGACGCCCGAGGGGCCCAGCCACAGATATGAAGCGGAGCCGCTGCCGCGACCGACCGCAGCCGCCACCACCGGCCGCCTGCAGGGAGGATGGGGCTCAGCGGGCGGCGGAGCTGCCCCAACCCCAGCCCTTGCCGTCGCGCCGGCGAGCGCCTCCTGGGAGGCAGCTACTGGAGGAGCGGACCGGGCCCTCGGGCCCCGAGGTGAAGGAGCAGGTAAGGCGGGCTGGCGTCCGGGAGGGAAAGGATGGGGAGCGGGAGCCTGAATGGGAGCGGTGGGGGAGGGGGATCTCAGGCGGGAAGACTTGGGCTAGGGCATTTGAGGGGTGGGGACTGTGTAGTTCTGCCGGATTAAAGGAAGGTCTGGAGCGGCAGAAAACTGGGGAGTGGAAAAATGGAAGTCATGGCCTGGGGTTGAATGGGAGGGAAATGGGGGAACAGGGGTTTGGAAAAATGGTCCTATGAGCGTTTGTAGTCCGGGATTCTGGATGCGAAGAAGGGACGCTGGAATGTGGCCTGGGAGTAAATGAACTGCAAAGAATAGGCTTACTAAAGGATACTGAGGAGTTAGCCAGAAGGGTAAATAGTGCAAAGTAGGGAAAATCAGTATGATAGAGTAAATGTTATCCTATTTCCTAGAGGTTGTCCTGACAGTTATAAAAACAGATGCCATTCCTAAGCATTCTTTTATTTGGCCATCATTAATTATATAGTGTTGTGGAGTGTGTTCAAATATTCAAGATTCCCTTCGGTAACGATCTATTTCACAAGAAAGCACTTTTTAAAACACCTGCATATGTGCAATTCCAAACCCAGCGCTGTGAACAGAATTTATAGAGAGATAGGCTCTGCCTTCTAGGAGTTTACCACTGAAAACACCTTAATGGGAAAACAGAAAGCAGTGTAAAACTATTCATGGAGTTTCTGAATGGATAGGATGTGTTTGTATAATTTATTAATCAAGCATAGAAATAGGGGATAAAGGTCAGTTTTATGAGGCAGGAGAAGTTGCCACTAGTAGCTGTAGGAGGTGCAGTGAAAGGAGAATATGTGGTCCTTGACCTTGTGCGACTTGCAGAAAAATATTCTGTAGTAGTGAACTCTAGTGACAGCTTTCTCTTTGCACAGCTCTACTTGAGACCCTAGTAAATTCATCCTTGACTCATTCAAGACTTTTATTAGGTCTCCTGCCTCTTTTCCATCAGTTCAATAAGTATTTTACTTAGATATCATTCTTCATTACATAGTTTCATTGATGCACATGCTAGCACTTGGATTTTTTTCTACGTTTTGTTCATCTTTTATTCTGCACCCAGCTCTGAGTAGACTGCACCATCCGCTGTCTCTGCCCTTGCTTTCAGGCCACTGAACATTGTCCCTGGATGTAATTTCCCCAGTTTTTTATATTGTTTTTTATATTCTCTCCCGTACCTACTTGAAACTTTTAAAATGTACTTAAAGCTCTGATCCTTTCCTGATTCAGTTTACTCGGTTCAATTGGCCGTATTGCATGGTTCACAAAAGAGTTCAGGGTTATTTGATTTTTCCTTCTTCTCTATCTCACAATTTTATTTGTTTGTTTATTTATCTATTTAGTAAGTAATAAAGCAAGCTCTCTGCCCAACGTTGGACTTTAACTCATGACCCCAAGATTGGGAGTCACATACTCTACCAGCTGAGCAAGCCAGGTGCCCCTCTAGCTCACAATTTCTGTGTTCACTCATCTTTTGCTTCAATTCTGGAGAAAGAAGTATTCATCCTCCTCTTCAAGGCTTATCCCTGTACTTCTGTCCTTGATTTTATCCTCTCTCATTCAGTGGAGGCCTTTGTTATGTATATTATTTTCTCTTTGTTTTATACCTCAACTAAAAAATGAAACAACAGTTTCCCTGAATTGTGTAACCCACCTAAGCTAATTTGTTTTCTTTGCTTTGCTTTACCAGCAACCCTCTTGGGAAATGAGTTTGTATTCACTGTCTTAGCTTCCTCACCTGTACACATTCCTCATATTACAGTTTGGTGCTTTTTTTTTAAAGTTTGTTTATATAAGTAATCTTTACACCCCACATGAGACTCAGCCCAGGACCATGAGGTCAAGAGTTACATGCTCTTCCGATTGAGCCAGCCAGATACCCCTTATAGTTTGGCTTCTACACTTATACTGTTCCAAAACTGATGTCTTCATGGTCACTAATAACTTTATATGTTTTTTGCTTTGTATGATATTTACTTTTTTATTGAATGTGACTTAAATACAGTGCATAAATTGAAGGTTCATTCAGCCCATGAATTTTTACAGATTGAATACATCCCTGTAACCACTGTTCAAATCAAGATGTAGAACATGTCCAATACCCTAGTATGCCCCTTGGTGTTTTCTCCCAGTTATTATGCTTCCCCAAAGGTAACTGCTTTCCCAACCTTCATCGCCATGGATTAGTTTTGCCCCTTCTTGAGCTTCGTATACATGGAATCTCCCGGTTTGTACTCTTCGGACTAGATTTCTTTCATTAAATCATGGCTGTGAGATTCATTTATGTTGTTCCTTGTAGAAATGGTTCTTTTTCATTGCTGTGTAGTTTTCCACTGTGCGAATGTCCACAATGATACTAAAACTTCTTTTTCAAATAACAAAATAATGCATGGTACTTGTGTAAAGTTTTCATTGTGAAAGAATTATGCAGAGAGATGTAGCAGTCCCAGGGAACTTTAAATGACTAAATTTGATAGTCTTCAGCCCAGTCTTCATTCTCTCTGACTTCTGTGAACTATTTATCACTGTTGCTCAGGTGTTCCTTCTTGATATTTTCATCTCTTGTCATAACGACCACTGGACTCCTTTTTCTCTGACTGCTTCCTGTGTGTCTTTTTTTGTTTTCTTTTCTCATAAATGTTTCTTGAGGATATGTCCTCTGTTCTTAGCTCTCTCCTTTATTGTACTCTTGTGTTTTTGCAGGCCTACCCTATTCATGGCAAGTATTTAGGATGTGAAACAAGGGTCTCTGATCTTCTTTTATTCATGCCCTTGTGTCACAGAACCTCCTTGTAGAGTGATCTGAGTTCCAAGCTTGACTTTTTCCCTTAGCTCTACATTTCCATTTCTTTCTCTGATGTTTCCACTATAGTATACTCAGCATTTGTGATCTTAACATTGTAATTTTTATAATTTTTTTTTCAACGTTTATTTATTTTTGGGACAGAGAGAGACAGAGCATGAACGGGGGAGGGGCAGAGAGAGAGGGAGACACAGAATCGGAAACAGGCTCCAGGCTCTGAGCCATCAGCCCAGAGCCTGACGCGGGGCTGGAACTCATGGACCGCGAGATCGTGACCTGGCTGAAGTCGGATGCTTAACCGACTGCGCCACCCAGGCGCCCCTGTAATTTTTATAATTTGATAGTGTCCTTGAAAGTCCATAACTTGTAATAATTTGATTTTGAAAAGATAAAAATTTCAGTTGTGTGCATTATGAGGCTGAATGGATTATGTCCATTCAGGGAGTAAGCTTAGCTGATCAACAAGCATTGACTCTCACAGGTGACTTTGTTCTCCTTTCCTCATGACGTGGAGCAATGCTTGTTATACTACATACTAGCTGGTGTTTTGGAGTAAGTTCTGAAGAGGATGCATGACTTGGATCTCTAGAAGATCAGTGGCTTGCTATATCCTTAAAATAGAATTCATTATTTCTCCTTTGAAATGTGCTTTTCCCTGTCATTCCTTTTCCTTGTCATCCAGCTTGAAGTTGTATCCTTGGTGTTTGACTTTCCCTCTCCCTTGACCCCCTAACCCAGATTTTGCTGATTCTGCCTTCATGATGCCTTTGAAATCTTTATTCTCACTGTCATCACCTTAATTAAGCATTTATAAACTTCTGTCTTGGTTGTTGTAATACCTTAAGTGCATTTACTCTGCTTTTAGTCTTTTTTTTTTTTTCAACGTTTATTTATTTTTGGGACAGAGAGAGACAGAGCATGAACAGGGGAGGGGCAGAGAGAGAGGGAGACACAGAATCGGAAACAGGCTCCAGGCTCTGAGCCATCAGCCCAGAGCCTGACGCGGGGCTCGAACTCACGGACCGCGAGATCGTGACCTGGCTGAAGTCGGATGCTTAACCGACTGCGCCACCCAGGCGCCCCTGCTTTTAGTCTTTTAACCTCTACTTTATAATGCATTCTGGTAAAAAAAAAAAACAAACCAAAAGATTATAACTCATTGCTTACCTGAGTTCCGGTAGTAGATAAATATTTGTTAAATGATCATTCCATTTCTGTATCTTTGGAAACCTTCATTAGCTTATTACCCATAGAATAAAGTCTGGAGATCTTGGCATTCAAGGTCTACTTGATACCACTTTTTATTCGAAGAATTGGAGTTAGGTGCCGCTTCTCTTGTTTCCCCAAGACTTTGCTTTATAAATTCTTTGAGGCCCACATTGTTTCATTTACTGTTGTGCACCTAAGGCCTACTGTGGTATTTGAAACATAGTTATTTGTCTGAATATTTATTAGAAACATAGATATGTGGCGGTGTCTGGCTGGCTGGCTCAGTGGGTGGAGTATGTGACTCTTGATTTAGGGGTTGTTAGTTTGAGCCCCACATTGGGTGTAGAGATTACTTAAAAGCAATAAATCTTAAAAAAAAAAAAAAAAGAAACATGTGGTGGTGCTTGAAACAGATATTTGCTCAATGAGCATGCTAATTGGTTGTCAGTCTCATCAGAGAAAATATTCCTCAGAGACTATCTTATTCATTGTATCACCTTAGTGTTTTAACTGGTTGTAGTAGTTGGCGGTCAGTAAATATTTGTTTACTGTTGAGCACTTTCGTATACTTATTTTAATTAATCATCCATCTGAAAAACTATTCTCTGCCTCTGCCCATTGAAATTCTACTCAAGGTTCCAGGCCTAGCTCAAATGCTACAGAAACTGTTCTTTGAAGTTATTTTTCTATGTGAGATCCTCCTAAGAGGATCCTTGATTAGGCTTAATAAATCTTTTTTTTTTTTTTTCCAACGTTTATTTATTTTTGGGACAGAGAGAGACAGAGCATGAACGGGGAAGGGGCAGAGAGAGAGGGAGACACAGAATCGGAAACAGGCTCCAGGCTCTGAGCCATCAGCCCAGAGCCTGACGCGGGGCTCGAACTCACGGACCGTGAGATCGTGACCTGGCTGAAGTCGGACGCTTAACCGACTGCGCCACCCAGGCGCCC